ATAAATAAATAATGGGACCAGCAGTTAGTGTAATGGCTATGTCACTAGACTCCCACATAGTCAACTGCGGTTCAAGTCCTTTAACCAGTGGCTTAAACTCAAGCAGGGCGCATGTGCGCGCATGTCCAAGATCCCAAGAGGAGAATGGATTGCGGTGTGGCCATCCCCCTGAGGTGGAGGGAGATGATTTCTCGCTTTCCCTCTCTAATTTTCTGGTGAGTGCATGCACCCTTTAGCAAAAATCTCTCTAAATAAATAAATAAACAAACAAACAAACAAGCATCCACTCACAAAGAGTACTACCTGTTTAGTTAGGTTTTTTTAAACATATTAAGAAAAAGAATAGTTGAACCAGTTTTCAGCATTTTCTATAAATAACTCATCTTGGTATTTATAAAACTGTAAGACAGAATTTTATTTGAAATATCAAGCTTTGACATATTAATAATATTTAACTACATTTCTTTTGAGAGGTTTTTGCTATAGGCATATGCGCTCACTAGAAAGACAGACAGAAAACGAGAAATCATCCCCCAGGAGGGATGGCCACACCGCAATCCCTTCTCCTCCATTCTCTTCTCGAGACCTAAGGCGCGTGTGCGCACGCACACACACACACACAGCATGAGTTTAAGCCACCAGGTCTGGGACTTGAACCACAGACAACTAAATGGGACTCCAGCGACAGCCATTACGCCAACTGCTGGTCCTAAAAACTACAGTTTTCAATATCTTTTCCTTTCTCTCTGTTTCCCCGGGTGCTTCATTTACAATCTTTAAAAGCAAAATACATATAACAAAACATCCTTACTTATTTACAGACACACACACACAAAATGTAAGTCTCAATTGACAGTTTACAAATCACTTTCAGATACATTCTCTCAATCCAATAACTGGCTTTATATCTATATACAGAGAAGGAAATGGTGTTTAAAATATTATATAAGAGCAAATGGTGTAATGGTTACGTTGCTGGACTCCCACATGGCAAACCCGAGTTTGAGTCTCAGATCTAGCAACCCACACACTCAGCACATGTGTGTGGGTTCGTGCATGGCATGCCCAAGATCCTAAGAGAACAATGGAGACGGGACTGAAGTGTGCCCATCCCCACTTGGGGGGTAGATTTTTCACTCTCTGTCTCTCTGTGTATCTCCAGTGAGCACACACACCCTATAGCAAAAAAGCTCTCCCCCCCCCAAAAAAAAGGTATTATGTGATTTGTCCCAAAACTGAATAAAAAGTGACAAAACCAAGGCTACCTTGACTCCTGATGCTATCTTGTTAAATCAATTCCTAAAAACTAGTGACTGACATCCTATCTTCAGGCCTATGGGTTCCTGGAACAATTCCTGTAATTATTCTTAAAATGACCTCTTACTTCCTAAAGGTACAATTTTCTCTTCTTAGAATCCTGTTTTATATCATAAAATAATAAATGAATATGTGAAAAACACATCTTATTTTCTTTTTATAACCTATATGAATTATATAATACCAGTGCTTCAAGGACAGTAGAGTTCCCTGTAAAGCTAGGGTTCCTCTTTTTAAAAATCTGTGGTACAGAATCATTTTAGAAGGTTTGAGAAAAACAAATTCTGGCAGAGATGCTGTTCCCATGGAGACTCTTAGGCAAAAATCATTATGGCTGAGCTTCTGTATCAAACAATTCAACCATACCTGCTTTATAGTGAAGAATCAAGAAATTGTTTCTTATTTTGTTCACATCTGAACAGAACTGGGCTAGCTTACTTGGAAAATACTTTGATGTTTATGTACCGGCGCGCTTATAGTTTTTATAGCCTTTAAAGTCTTGCTGACCAGTTTTCTTACTGAAGAGATCAAACCATCATTTCTTTCTATTTAAAAATGTCTTCGTTAGGGACCAGCAGGTGGCATGGTGATTAAGGTGCTGGACTCCCACATGGTCAACTACAGTTTGAGTCCTGGACCCGGAAGCTTTAGGAATCACAGTGGCACATGTACGTGCATGCCCAAAATCCCGAGAGGAGAAAAGAGAGAAGAAATTGTGGCATGGTCATCCTCCAGAGGAGTGATTACTCACTTTTCCTCTTTCTGGCTTTCTAGCAAGGACATATGCCCTATAGTCAAAGAAAGAAAGAAATGTCTTCCTTTTCTTTAAAAATAAAAAATTATTTTAATTTTATTTATTGATTCATGTATTTTAACTTGACCAGATAGACACACACACACACACACACACACACACACACACACACACACAGAGAGAGAGAGAGAGAGAGAGAGAGAGAGAGAGGGAGGGAGGGAGGGAGGAAGGGAGAAAGTGAGAAGTTGAGCCACCAGGTCCAGGACTCAAACTATGGTTGGCCATGTGGGAGTGTCCAGCACCTTAACCACCACATCACCTGCTAGTCCCCAGATATGTCTTCATTTAATGTCTCACTAACCTACTTAATTTTATAGTTAGATAAATGCTTGTGCTGAGTTCACTTCTTTAGCAAATACTTAAGTTTGTGTGTGTCTGATGGTTTTATCCACACATTCAAAATTAATCATTGCTTGGGAACCAGCAGTTAGCGTAATGGCAATGTCGCTGGACTCCCACGTAGTCGACCGCAGTTCGCGTCCTGGACCCGGTAGCTTAAAAAACTCACGCCGGGCGCGTGTGCGTGCGTGCCCAAGATCCCGAGGGGAGAATGGAGTAGAAGGGACTGCGGCGTGACAATCCCCCTGGGGGGTGATTTCTTGCTTTCTGTCTCTATGTCTCTCTCTGTCTGTCTGGCGAGCGCACGCGCCCTATAGCAAAAAAAAAAAAACACCTCTCCCAAAAAAAAAAGAAAATTAATCATTGCTTCATTGTAGTGGTGTGACACTCTTTACTTTCTTCAATGTTTTTCAGTATCCTTCATAACCATGTTCATATTCAACAAGACAAGAATTTTAAAAGCTAATGTATTCATTTACTTTCATTCCTAAATGCTGCTGGCTATGCACCAAAGTATTATTTACTTTTCCTAACTCTATGACCATTTCTCATTTTTTCACCCTCTTTCGTCTAGAAAAAAGTTTTCGAAATTCACAAATCTTGGGACCAGCAATTAGCGTAATGGCTATGTCGCTAGACTCCCACGTAGTCGACCGTGGTTTGTGTCCCGGACCCGGTGGCTTAAAACTCACGCCGGGTGTGTGTGCATGTGTGCCCAAGATCCCAAGAGGAGAATGGAGAAGAAGGGACTGCGGCGTGGCCATCCCCCAGGGGGGTGATTTTTCGCTTTCTGTCTCCCTGTATCTCTCTCTGGTGAGCGCACGCACCCTATAGCAAAAACCTCTTAAAAAAAAAAAATCACAAATCTTAACAGCGTATTCTAAATTAAATAAATATACTGAGAGAGTAACTCTAGAAAGTACATAAAGAATCTGGTCATCTTTCATGACTACGAAAATCAGTAAAAATCTACCTTTTTTAACAGAAGATGACACATTAAAGAAAAATATCATAGGATGAATCAAATCTCTAGTGCTGAAAGTTGTAGTTTATATATTGTATAAGAGTTTCTTGGTTAATTCATTGCTTAATTTCAGAGTAGAGATAGAAAGTCAAGTCAACTGAATAACCAAGTTTTCTGTTAAAATTACAATTAAAGGGACAATAAGTCTTAGTTGATTAATTTTCTTCACTTAAAATAATCTCAAATTCTCTAAAAATCTTTTATTTCAGTAATTAAGGTCATTATGATTTCTGCGATCATTTCATACATCTCTACTGTTACTGAAAGTTAAGCCTAATCTTCCAAAAGAAAATAGAAAAAAACAATTTAACAAAATTGTAAAAAACAGATAAATGGGAGCCAACAGATAACATGGAGGTTAAGGTGCTGACAGTGGTTCAAGTTCTGGACCTAGCAGCTTGCTTTCTCACTTTCCCTAAAATTAAACAATTTTTAAAAATGAAACAAATAAAAGGTATCTTTCAGGCACTTAGGTCTCTACATGCACATCCAAGAGTCGCGTTGGAAATATACACACATGCGCACACACACACACAAATCAGAAATCTAAGCATGGAAGTTACATCTAGGGGACCCGCAGCTGGTGTAATGGCTATGTCTCTGGACTTCTATGTAGTTGACTGCTGTTTGAGTCCCGGACCTGGTGTTTTAAACTCACACCGGGCACGTGTGTGTGCATGCCTAAGATCTTGAGAGGAGAATGGAGGAGAAGGGATTGCGGCGTGGCCATCACCCCCACCCCGGGGATAGGGGGAAGGTGATTTCTCGCTTTCTGTCTCTCTGGCAAGCACACACGCCATATAGCAAAAATCTCTCCAAGGAAAAAAAAAAACGGAGTTAAATCTAGAACCCATGATTTTAAGGAGTAAGAATTGTAGTTTATGACAAAAGTGGTTTTCTAATAATTAAGTGTCAGTTTTCTGCGAGTTAATCTTATCCAAGATGACTTGATAAGTTCAAAGATTCCAACTACATTTACATTTACAAGCTTTGACTTCTGTTTTCAAAGGTAGCCAAGGCTCTTTTTATTTTATTAACTAAACTAATAAATTAAATTAAGAGTCTTTCCCCTCCTATTTGTATGTGCTCGCAAAAGAGAGAGAAACAGAAAGAAAGCAAGCACTAAGGGGGGATGACCACACAGCAATACCGGTTTTCTGCGAGTTAAGCAATGTCTCCATTCCTCTCAAGATTCTGGGCATCATGCACACATACCCGTGTTTTTCAAGCTACCAGGTCCAGAACTCAAACCACATAATTAGCCATGTGGGATCCAGCCTCTTTAACCACCTCGCCACCTGGCTAGCCCTAAAACATTTTTTAGAAGGGCAAATTATGAAATATCTATCAGTAATTCTTTAAGGAATCTAACACAAATATGGTACATCTAAGCACAAAAACCTAAAAACAAAAACTTTTAAAGGATTAGGAGTTAGAAATAATATTTTTTGAAAGATTAGAAATTAGCAATAAAGAATCCTCTGCGTTCTTTCTTTCCAGCTTAGGCCCGAAAGAATGGCTCCCGCAAAGAAGGGTGGCGAGAAAAAGAAGGGTCGTTCTGCCATCAGCGAGGTGGTGACCCAGGAATATACCATCAACATTCACAAGTGCATCCATGGCGTGGGCTTCAAGAAATGTGCCCCTCGGGAATTCAAAGAAATCCTGAAATTTGCCATGAAAGAGATGGGGACTCCAGATGTGCACATTGACACCAGGCTCAACAAAGCTGTCTGTGCCAAAGGAATAAGGAACGACCCATATCGAATTCATGTGCAGTTGTCCAGAAAACAAGACAAGGATGATGATCCACCCAACAAGCTCCACACTCTGGTCATCTATGTACCTGTTACCACTTTCAAAAATCTACAAACGGTCAATGTGGATGAAAACTAACTGCTGATTTTCAAATAAAGTTATAAAATAAAAAAAAAAAGAAATTAGCAATAAATGCACATTCAATATCATACATACATAAGCTATGCACAGTAAATACATTCTATGAAAATATTATGCAGGTATTATAAAATAACAAAACCCACTCATATGTAGTAATGTACACACAGTAAAATACACACAATGAACGTTAAAAGTTATCAAACAAGGGCCAGCAGGTGGTGTGGTGTGGTGGTTAGGGCACTGGATTCCCACATGGCTGACTAGTTTGAGTCCTGGACCTGGTGGCTTGCTCTCTCACTTCCCCTTTTTCTCTCTACTCTATGGTGATTTTCTATGGCAAATTTTAAAATAACAAAATTTAAATTAAATAATTTTTTAAAATTATAAAACAATATTATAGGGACCAGCAGTTAGTGTAATGGCTATGTTGCTGGACTTCCATGTAGTCAACCACGGGTTGAGTCCAGGACCCGGTGGCTTAAACTCACGCCAGGCATGTGTGCGTGCGTGCCCAAGATCCCAAGAGGAGAATGGAGGAGAAGGGATTGCGGCATGGCCATCCCCCCTGGGGGGTGATTTCTCCCTTTTTGTCTCTCTGTCTCTCTCTGTCTTTCTGGTGAGCGCATGCGCCCTATAGCAAAAACCTCTCCAAAAAAAAAAAAGTATAGAACAGAATGAGCCTACATTTGCTTTCCTGGACTTCTGTAACAAAATTACCACAAACTTTGTGGCTTAAAACAACAGAAATTTAGGGACCAGCAGACTTCATAATGGTTACATCACTAGACTACAATGTAGTCTACCACAGTTCACGACCTCGATGTGTGCCTAAAATTCCGAGAGGAGAATGGAGGAAAAGGGATTGCAGTATGGCCACTCCCCGCCATACTACAGAAGGCTGATTTCTCGCTTTCTGTCTCTCTGGTGAGCGCATGCATACACTGTATAGCCAAAAAAAAGTAGAAAATTATTATCTGAGAGTTGTGAATGCCAGAGCCCAAACTCAAGTTTGAGCACAACAGGACTCCACTCCCTCCAAAAACTCTAAACAGAAAATCCTTTCTTGACACACCTACATGTGGTCTACATGTGCACACCACCAAATATAAATCCAGCTCTTTCTGACAGGGTCTACGTTGTCCAGGGTCAGCTCCAATACCTCAAGCTCAACCTTCTTTTCTCAGTCTCCCAAGTAGCTAGAATTACAGGAGCACACTATTCATGCCTGGCCTTTCAGGTTGGGTCAGAATTCAAACATGGGCATCCCATGTGGTCTTAGCCTGCAACGCATGAACATTTTATTGGAGTACACCACAACTCTGCCCGTTTTCAATTAAAAAAAAAAAAAAAAAAAACCTTTTGAGGGCTGACTCCAAACCAGTCTAGTGGTTAAGGAAGCTGGATCACATGTAGCCAACCATCTGGTTTGAATCCCAATCCCCAACAGCTTGAAAAACATGCTAGGCAAGTATGCATCTGTGCCCAAAATTCCAATTGGATGAAAAATGGAACAGAAGGGAGTGCAATATGGCCATGCCCCTTTCTCCCTTTTCTCTTATCTTTCTCTGGTAAGAACACTGCATTCTCTGGCAAGTTAAAAAAAAAAAAAAAAAAAGCAGGAACCAGCAGTTAGCGTAATGGCTATATCGCTGAACTCCCACATAGTCGACCGCGGTTTGCGTCCTGGACCCAGTGGCTTAAAACTCACGCCGGGTGCATGTGCAGGCATGCCCAAGATCCCAAGAGGAGAATGGAGAAGGGACTGCGGTGTGACCATCCCCTCTGGGGGGTGATTTCTCGCTTTCTGTCTCTATGTCTCTCTCTGTCTGGTGAGCGTATGTGCTCTATAGCAAAAACCTCTCAAAAAAAAAAAAAAAGCAAAATCTTTAGAGTTCATTTTCTGTTTTTAAGAGAAGGGTTTTTTTTCTTTTTAAGAGAAGGGTGTTTTTCTTTTCCTTTTTTTTTTTTTCTCTCTGTTTTTCTTTTTTGCTGTAGGGCACGTGAGTTCCACAGAGAGATAGAGAAAAAGTGAGAAATCACTGCTGGGGTGGGAAGGAACATACTGCCCAATCCCTTCCTCTTTTAGTATTTTGGGCACGCATGTGCATGTGCCCAGTTTGGGTCTCAAGCCTCCAGGTCCAGAACTCAAACAGCAATCAGCCATGTGAAAGTTCAGCACCTCCACCACTATGCCACCTGCTGGCCCCTTGAGCTTCTTTTCTTTCTTTTTTTTTTTTAAGAGAGATTTTTGCTATATGGTGCATGCGCTCCCCAGTGAGACAGAGACAAAGTGAGAAATCACCCCTCTAGGGAGGCTGGCCATGCCACAATCCCTTCTCCTCTCAGGATTTTGGACACACATGCACATACGCCTAGTGTGAGGCTTAAGCCACCAGGTCTGGGACTCCAACAGCGGTTGACTATGTGGGAGTCCAGTGACATAACCATTATGCCATTTGCTGATTCTCTTTGAGCTTATTTTCTACACCCAAAATTGTATGCTATTTCTTTGCTCCTCTTTGCAGTGAAAATAATTCAAGAGAACTATCTATGCTTGCTATTTGTTATATATCTCATTTCATTTTCTTTTAAATCCAGTCCTAAAAGGCTTTTTCCCCAACAAGTCACCAGAATACCTAGTCACAAACCAATAGGTATTTATTAATTATCATCTTTTTTTTTTTAAGGTCCTCACTATAGGACACATGAACTCGCCAGAAAGAGACAGAAACAGACGGTGAGAGGAAAAGAAGTCACTCCCACCCTTTTGCGAGGGATTGGGGCGGGGGGGGGGGGGGTGGCAACACAGCAGTCCCTTCTCTGTTCTCCTCCCAGAATTCTGGGCACGCATGCACACACAGCTGGCTTGATTTTCAATATGCCAGGTGCAGGACTCAAACTACAATCCACCATGTAGAAGGCCAGTGCCATAATCACTATGCCATCTGTTGGCCCCCTCAGTCCTCATCTTAACTTGACATATCAGTAGCCCAGTCAAAACTGAAAACATTTCTTGGCTTCTCGCATGCTTTACTCTTTTGGCTGGCTGTCTCCCTTTGCTGGTACCAACTTTGCTAGGGCCTTCTCTCCTTTCCAACTACTGAAGGTCAAAACACATGTCTCAGCACAAAATACCCCATTATTCTTCTCTATCTATACTCAGTCCATGGATAACCTTACCTAGTCTTGCAACTTTAAATATTGTATAAGTGATGATTTTTCTATTTTATATTTCTAGCCAGAAATTTTCCTTGAACTCTGTAAGTACATCAAATCACCCCATACACTGATAACTCCAGGATACATATTTGCAAGCCTAAGTTTCCTCACCGGATACCTAGAAGACTTCAAAAAATTAATGGAAAAATACAATTAGAGTACTAATTTATTTTTGTGCAAAAAAAAAGTGAAATACAATCATGATCTTTTCATAATTCCTACTTTCCAAGAACTTTCTTAAGATGCAACTCATACTTCTTCACATCTCTAGTACTCAACAGGTTTACCATCTGCTATTCTATTCAGGCTGCTGTAACGAAATACCATAAACTGGGTAGCTTATAAACAACTGAATTTGGGTATTATAAGGGTCTGGAAAATCAAAGATCTATGTATGGGGACCAGCAGTTAGTGTAATGGCTATGCCACTGAACTCCCACGTAGTCGACCGTGGTTGGTGTCCCAGAACCAGTGGCTTAAAACTCACACCGGGCGCGTGTGCATGCGTGCCCAAGATCCCAAGAGGAGAATGGAGGAAAAGAGATTGCTGTGTGGCCATCCCCCCGGGGGGTGATTTCTCCCTTTCTGTCTCTCTGTCTCTGTCTGTCTGGTGAGCGCAGGCGCCCTATAGCAAAAACCTTTCCCAAAAAAAAAAAAAAAATTGGTACCAACATATTCAGTGTCTGGTGGTAAAAGCCTGTTCCCCACCAACAGCACCTTATTTTGTTATCTCTGCAAGGACTAAAGTACAAGGCAATTCCCTCAGGCCTCTTTTATAAATGCATTAATTCCAGTGAAAAGCATTCGCCTTCATGAACATAATCATCACCTCCCAAAGGTCTCTCCTTTCAGTACCATCACCTTGTGGGTTAGGAGTTCAACACATAATTTTTGGAGGGACAGAGACATTCAGACCACAGCACCATTCTAGTGTTGGAACCTTTCTGTTTCTCAAACTCAGTACTCTTAATCCGTTTATCCTGCAATACTTGTATTTGTTTTTATGAGAATATTTATCATTCATCATTTAACTTATGTGCTTATGTATGACTATGTTTATACTGTGCCTTGCTGTCCAAACTGAAATATAATTTCTACTAGGACGGTGACCTTTGTCCACTTTGTTCACTGGGATTATCTAAAATAAAGCCTGCCACATGGCAGACACTCCTCCACCCCTGAAAAAGAAAAACGAAAAAAAAAAAAGAAAAAAAAACTAAAAGCTTTAAATACTGTCTTCAATTTAAAAATATCTAATTTATCTAGAAAACATTAAAGTATCTCTTTTTGGCCCAGTTACTATAGTGCACACTGGTTGATAATGTTACCTGGCAAGCTGAGGCCACATGGAAGGCCTGGATTTGATTCCCAACCCACTCTAAAAGTCACACATGATGGCAAATGCATATAGGACCAGCTACTCAGGAGACTGAGGCAGGAGAAATCAGAAAAATAGCAAGATCCTGTCTTTAAAAAGTATCTTTTCATAAAAGCTGATTACATTTAAGAGCAGAAAGATCAAGGAAATAATCTCAAAGAACTAACAGATGGCATAATGGTTACATAGCTGGACTCCCCGGTGACTGACCACAGTTCAAGTCCCAGACCTACTAGCTTAAAGCTCATGCTGAGACTGTGTGCCCAAAATGAGAATGGAGGAGAAGGGATTGTGGCATGGCCATCTACCCTTGCAGGGTGATTTCTCACTTTCTGTCTCTCCAGTGAGCACATGCGCCCTATAGCAAAAATCTCTCAAACAGGAGGAAAAAAAAAAAAGT